ATAGCTGCACGCGCACTGGTGGCAGCGGCACGGCGGGGGCGAATGGCCGTACTGCGGGTGGCCGCTGCGCTGGTGCTTGCTGCAGCGCTGTTGCTGGCATCGCCGTTTGCGCCGTCGACGCCGACATCTGCACGCTGGTCGGCGCTGACTGTCTCCCTGACGCTGGCCTCGATCATCTCGTCGTCGAGCTCCATGTCTGCACCCTCATCGTCGCTGTCGCCGTCGCCGATGACGCCGTTGACGCCGTTGCCCGCTTCCGCAAGGCGATACGCGGGCAGCTCCTCGACGACGTCGTCCTTGACGCGCACCTCGACCATCTGGCCGGTGTAGTAGAGGCGAGCGGACGGCACATCCTGGTACTCTCGGGGCGAATGGCGGAGGAGATCTCCGTTCGGGGCGAAGCTAAAGTGCTCGATGGCCCTCTCGACGGAGTCATCGCCGAGGCGGCGGATCCAGCGGAAGGTGAAGGTGTTGACCTGCTGCGTCTCTCGCACATCGGTCCACTCGTAGGGCCTAAAGCAGCGCAGGCTGAGCAGGTGGCCGCTGGTGACGGTGTAGTCCTGCGTCACCATGTCCCTAGTCGTGCCCGTGACGCGGTACAGCTCATCCTGGCCATGCACGACGGGGCCATCGATGATCGTCGGGCGGCCCGTCTCGTCGATCAGCGTCTCGCCCTCGACAAGGTTCTCGACGCGGACGGACTGGACGCGTCCCTGGCGGATCGCCAGCACCTCGGTGCCGTAAGCGAAACTGGTAGAAAGAAACGGCGTAGGAGGGAGGAGAGTGGCGCAGAAGGTGGCAGATCGTGTGTCAGTCTCATCGTCGCTCGTCGTCGTGTGTAATCTCAAGCCCAGATGACGGAAAAAAATGACCCACCAGTGGGTTTCCAGAGGTTCGGCGAGCGATCGGCGGGCGATGATGAGCTTTTTGGGTTGCTGTGTGTAGTCGAGAGGTGCCGAGGTCAGGGCGAGGGTCGAGGGCGCGAGATGGAGGCTCGTGGTGATCGGGGATAGTCGGACGGCCATGCGGTTCGGCGGCAGCGGGGGGCACCGAAAGTGAGTTTCGTGGTCGGAGCGCATCGTGCGGACGGGGGGTCAATCGGTCGGGCGAGCAGAGAAGGGCGACCGGGTGTGGTCGCGAGTAGGCAGGGTCAAGGTGGCGGTGCGGTGCGGTGCGGTGCGGTGCGGTGCGGTGCGGTGCGATGCGGTGCGGTGCGGTGCGATGCGGGTGGTCGTGAGAGAAGCGGTGCGCAGGTAGTCGCAGAGGCGGTGCGCGATGCGTTGTCGTCGATGGAAGGGGCGAAGCGGAGGAGCAGAGTGGAAGGCGAAGAGTGGGTGAGGCGAAGAGTGAGCGGACGAACAGGAGAAAACGGAAAGGAAACGGGGGAGAAGGGAGAAGGAGGGGGCAGGAGGGTGGCGAGCGGCCGCCTCTTATATAGCCCCAGCCGCCACCCGCTGGCCACCCTCCTCGTGCGAGGCTGCAGGGCTCGGCAAGCTAACCCAGCGCAGGCAGACCAGCGCAGGCAGCCCGGCGCACGCAGATGAGCGCACGCACAGGCCAGCGCAGGCCAGCGCGAACCAGGCCAGACCAGGCTGGCCGAGCCCGGACAAACCCAGCGTGACTCAGCTCAAGGCCTGCCCGACCTC